GGTGGCAATAATAATTTTAAAAATCTATAAATGAAAAATCAGACATTATTCCAAAGTCCTGCTTAAATGAAGCTATCTTGGAAAGGCGGGAGGAAGATCAAATGTGTGATCTGGAATGTGGCCAAGGGGGAATGAACAATGTGAGTGCTGCTTGCATTGAATATGTATACATTAGACAAAAAAGCTCTCTCCTCAGCTGCTATTAGATTCAGACCTTTCCAGAACTGGTTTGTGGGGCATTTTGCACTGTGCATTTGATTATATTTACAAAGTTATATGGAAAGAATTATACTGAATTCTTCCCTTTGTATAGATAATGGAATTCTGTGCAAATAGAGTTGTAGACAACAATTGTGTGATCTTGTTGTAATCTGTAATGTGATTCACAGGTATATTCATATTCATATTCTGCTACAGTGTGAGCTTCTCACGTTCTTTTCTTGGAGGAGAGGACAAAAGTGTTGTTGTCTGCAATATCTCCAGATATCCTCCTCTTCTGGTTACCTTTATGCCTTTTAGAGGGCCTCCTAAAATGATGGCTGTATTTTTCCTGCGGTGAAGGTTTAGCTATTTAAAATAACAACTGGGAATGACCTCTCCTTTCACTTGCCTTGTGCTCTCTAGTTATACAGTAGGCCCTCCAGTTTCACTGGGGCTAGGGGCACAAAATACCAATGAAAGTGGGAAAACTACACAAAAAAGTGCTATTTTTTAATCTGAGAGAACACTTCTCTAAGTGCTCTGGGGCAACTCTGTGATCAATTTCCATCAGAGATATTTCAACTTCCTGTAGAGATTCCTGGAGAGAAAATGTTAATCAAATCCATGAATAACCAAATCTGTGAAGGTTAAACTAACTAAAGTATGAAGCTGACTGTATTTCACGGTTACCTTCTCTGCCTCCCCCCCCCCCCCCCCAGTTCCTGGGTCAAAAGACATCACATATTAGCATCCAAGAGTGGAAGAACTGAAAAAGGAACAACAACCACACATTTGTTCAGAGACATAGGGGAAGGAAATTCTTTCCTAGGTCCTTCCCCATTGCTTTTTAAACAACGTTTCACATGGTCAGTGGGGTGGGGAATTTGGTCATATGAGGTAATAGCCACAATTGGACCATGTGATTGTCAACTGTTGATCCTCTGGGTATTTGGGACTTTCAACTCCTGTCCGAACGCATCTCCCCCTATGAACCACCGCGGAGATTAAGATCTTCTGGGGAGGCCCTGCTCTCGGTCCCACCACAATCACAGGCACATTTAGTGGGAACAAGAGAGAGGGCCTTCTCAGTGATTGCCCCTCGCCTATGGAACTCCCTTCCTAATGTGATAAGATCAGCCCCCTCCCTCTGGTCCTTTATAAGGATGATAAAAACATGACTGTGGAGGACCAAGCCTTTGGGACTGTGTAATGAGCCGGTGATAGGAACTCTTAGTATTCCAACCAAATTCTATATGGTTGTTGAGACAAGTTCTAACTAGAGGATTTTAACATCAAGATAAGTGATTTAAATGTTTTTGTATGTGTATGGTCTAGTATGTTTTGGCATTGGATGTTTGCTGTTTATATGTTGTGCTCTTCCTGAGTCCCCTTCAGGGTGAGAAGGGCGGAATATAAATGCTTTAAATAAATAAAAAGATTAAAAAAATAAAATCCCCAGTCAGCTTGGTCAACTGTCAGGAATTGTTGGAGCTAAAGTATAAAACATGCGGTGTAGCAAAAGTTGGGAACTATCCAAGGTGCTGAATCTTATCCTATAAATAAGTTCAACAGCTTGAACAGTTCCTTTACAGTTGTCCAAAACCTGGAGCAAATTCACTGTCTTGCTCTCATGGGAGCCATCAGCTATCAGTGATAGAGCCTTTGAAACTTTCAAGGGCTTATGCAGTTGTAAAAAAAACACACACAATAGGCTGGATGCAGTGAGTAAAAATTCCTAAGATTTTTGCACCTACTACCTTTCTCTTTCTTTGTTTACTCCTTGCTCCCCATGCAACCATTTAGACATGTTTCAAAACTTACCAAAGATTACTGTGGGTTTTAGAGTAGTGCCATATTTCCCTGGCTTCACTTTGTTAGCCCTTCGAGTAAATCTAATTCTGTTTTGCTGACCATTTGAAAGATCCAGGCACCAGGGAGTATCTAAACTGTATGTGACTGTACTGCACCCCCACATTTACACACTCTAGTCCCATAAGTATGGATATCTATTGCATACAAATGTGTATCACATTGCACTGAGTCATTCCTGGCTTGCTTGTTGGCATGAAGTCTATAGTGAACACTGGAGGATATGTCTGAGGCAGTGTGTTACCTTTTAGCATCTAACTTTGTTGTACTCAACTATAGTCTCACAGCTTGAATTCATTAGTATTTGAGTTATATAAGGTTGCACTGAAATGTAGAATTTCAGTGCTGGTCACTGGAGAAATGCCAACATACCAGAAAAAATATACTTCAGCCAACATGCTGGAGGCCATAGAGTTGTTTAATGAATAAAGGAGCATTTTTCTCATTTTACAAAAGGACATGAGAAATCACCTAAAGATTATACCAATAAATACAAAATGTATTTATTTAGATACATTGTGGATTTTATTATTGCAAAATGTGGTATGGAAAAGATTACGTTTGGATTACATTTATTTAGATACGTTGTGGATTTCATGTGCAAAATATGCTATGGCAGAGATTTCATTTGGCCCAAGGAAGAAGTGGTTTTGATCTATTACACTGCAGTATTAATTACTCCTTCTAGGGAATTGGGCCTAAATGCTGAGTGAGTTATAAAGTATTCCATAGTTTTTTCTTATGTTCCATTTCCTGTAATAGTTTAAAAAAATATTTTTCTGTGATGGGCTCTTTCACATAAGACTGAGAACCTGAATTTTTTTTTAAAAAAAATATTCATCTCACTCTTTTGTTTTTAGGGAGAACAATGTTTGGATTGGGGTTGCAATTGTATTGGAGGTGGGAAAGGGCCAGGTTGATGGATGCTCACCTAGATCAGATGGTCACCCAGGTCACCATTCCCAACATGAAAGGATAGCTCCCTTCTCCCAGCATCCAGAAATGGCAATGAAGGGGAAAGGAAGTAGGTTTGATTAAGAAAATATATTCATGCATTGCAGGAATCCAAACAAATACAAATAAAGCAAACATTGCAACTACTGGCCATGTGACCAGACATAAGCCGATACAGAGAACATATGCATACAGTAGGAAAGAAAGACCTAGCACCAGTGTGACTATATAATGGGGATCCTTTGTGGATTTCCAAATTGAGTTCAGTTTGGATTGAAACAGATGTGTGTGGTAGTAAATGGGATCAAATTGAGACAGGGATGCAAGGCCATGAAGGTGGGAAAGAGCCTTCATATAGACTCAGCCTGGGCCTGCTTTATGTTTTTCCTGTGTTGTGATTTTTGCTTAAGAATCACTGTTTGGAGTCAATTTACTTAAAGCAGTGGTTCTCAACCTGTGGGTTCCCATGTATTTTCTCTAAAATCTGCATTTCCTCATTCTAGATCATACATTGTATTATATGTTTTTGTTGAACTGTCAGGGAACTTTCAAATTCCAACCAGTAGAATTAGAATCATTAATTAATCTAAATCAGGCATCCTCAAATTGCAGCCCTCCAGCTGTTTGGGCCTTCAACTCCCAGAATTCCTGACTATTGAACAAGCTCATTAGGGCTTCTGGGAGTTGGAGGCCCAAACAGCTGAAGGGCCGCAGTGGGAGGATGCCTGATCTAAATGATAAGTTCCAACAGCAGCCATCAGTTGTGGAATAAAAACATGTATCATGCTATATTGTTGAAGGCGTTCATGGCCGGAATTACTGGGTTGTTGTAGGTTTTTCAGGCTATATGGCCATGTTCTAGAAGCATTCTCTCCTGACATTTTGCCTGCATCTATGGCAAGCATCCTCAGAGGTTGTGAGGTCATGCTATAGTTTCTGCATTGAGCAAATAGTTGTCTTAGCACAGGGATCCACAAACTTTTTAAGCAGAGGGCCAGGTTACAGTCCCTCAAACTGTTGGAGGGCCGGAGTATAATTTGAATAAAACATGAATGAATTCCTATCCACACTGCACATACCTTATTTGTAGTGCAAAAAGCACTTAAATACAATAATTAAAATCAAGAACAATTTTAACAAAGATAACCTTATAAGTATTTCAATCGGAAGTGTGGGCCAGCTTTTAGCTGATGATATAGGATTGTTGTTGTTGTTGTTGTTGTTGTTGTTGTTGTTGTTGTGTGGTTTCAAGTCGTTTCAGACTTAGGTTGACCCTGAGTGAGGGCTGGGTAAATGACCTTGGAGGGCCGTATCTGGCCCCCGGGCCTTAGTTTGAGGACCCCTGTCTTAGCACATATGAGAACAGCTTTTTCAGGACATCTGCACCCTTTGCACCTGTGCCTTGTTGTATGTTTCTAATGGGAAAAAGAAGTGGGTTTTGCAAAGTGCTTTTTTTCCTTAAATGAGCACAGTTCTTATTCATACAGTGCGGCACCATTTATCTCATTTCCAAAGGTAAACTAGAGAACAGTTAAAGCAGTGCAGTGTCTTCAGTTCGAGAACAAGGCATAAGGGTTCTGTGCCTGGGCTTGAGGCTGCCAAGGATTATTTAGACACACGCTGTCCTTGGGGAAACAAGCCCCTTCAGCTTGTTTAAAATTTATGCTAATAGTAGGCTACTATTGAAAAAAAATCCCATTCATTCAGCATCTTGAGAAATCTCTAGCATACATTAACTGATGATATCTTGGAAAAAATTAAGCTCCAAGTGTATGGAAAATTAGTTAATTCATACTCTGAGGAATTTTTAAGTTTATTGAATAGTGTTATCCACTCTATTTCGGAAGGCGTAGCTGAAACAAAAAGCACATTATGCTGTTCTTGCTTTAATCACTCAGTGTGGATTTTCAGTTATGCATACTTTCCCTACTATTTCTTCTCTTCCTTCATATGACCTTTCCCCATTTCTTAATCAGGTTTGGGAAGAAAAAAGAGGACAAAGTTGTAAAAGGTGACCAGAAAGGAAACACCAAGTCTGGAACTCTTAAAGAAGAAGAATTTGAAAGGATGAAGGAGGAGCGAGAAAGGTGAGTAGAAGGGAAGGGAATGGGGATTGCAACCTGTCTTCAATGAAGAAGAAGGATGTACCTTTGCTAGCAGAAAATTAGGGAAGTGATCCCAAAAATAGCATCCCAGACATCTTACCACCAGTCTTATTAGTACCTTCTCTCTTAGAAACACATCACAGGCAGTCCCCGAGTTACAAACACCCGACTTACTTGTCACTCATAGTTAAGAACAAAGGTCAGACAACAGGAAGTGAGAGAAATCTAACTCTTGGAAGGGAAACACACTCCTGAAAGAATTTTCATGAGGAAAAGTTGTCTGCAAGGAAGCTTTCCCACCAATCGTTTCCACCAGAAGCCTAATTTTTCCAAATCCAGTTATCACAGGGACAGAAAGTGGGGGGAACAGGGGCACAGACAACAAAACACATTCCCCAGGGGTGGTCATCCTTCCCTATGCAATCCAAAGCTAATATAGGCAAATCCCTACATAATATCTTTTCGGGGTCTGGCACTATAGATAGATCCTGTTTGCCCTATACATAAGTCATAAAGCTCATAGCTATCTTAATATAGGCATTACTGGAAAGAGGAAGGGAAAAAGCAGTGCGAGATTCTTTGCAATGAAGTGTATCTTGGAATACACCACACCGTTGTATTGTCGAAGGCTTCCATGGCTGGAATCACTGGGTTGTTGTAGGTTTTTCGGGCTATATGGCCATGTTCTTGAAGCATTCTCTCCTGATGTTTCACCTGCCTCTATGGCAGGTATAACCCTCTTATAAACCCAAATTTCCTGGTTCCAACAGACCTCACAACCTCTGAGGATGCCTGCCATAGATGCAGGTGAAACATCAGGAGAGAATGCTTCTAGAACATGGCCATATAGCCCGAAAAACCTACAACACCACATCATTGTTTGCCTTAATCTGATATTCATTTCTGATGAGAGTGATATCGGCTTCCCTAGTCTGCTCGTCCCATGTACCATCTCCTTAGAATCACCTTAATCTTAATTAACTTAAGATTGTGTTGTGGATTCATTGAACATGGAGGAATCCATATGTTCAAAAGCTAGAATAGTTCCTTTGAGCCTAATATTTTACATTGTCAATGTTGCTTTGCAAGTCATGTTGTTGGCTTTGCCTATGGAGTGAAATTTAATCACTGTTGCCTTTTCCTAAAAAGTTGGGTGTAGTTGGTATGATCTGGAGCCTTCAAGCTCTCATCCTTGTTGCTCTTGGGAGCAGTATGTGTGGAGCCGTCTCATGAAGAAAGATGAGTCTAGAGGAGAATATGCTGGAATTATTTTCCTTTGCTTCCATGTAACTATTTGACTGCTCAAACTGTTCTTCATTAATTTGAGGCATAGTAATTATTGTATCACTGAGCATGCCAGTTCCAAGGGCCTAGACCCCTTAGTCTGTGAGTTTGATAGAACTAGACTTTCAAGCATTCTTTTGGGCATTGTGCAAGAAAATATTTGAGATTTCTTCTGCTTTCAATCCAAATCATCATCATCATCATCATCTATATAAATAAAAATGTAATGTTCGTTTGTGGGATTAAGATAACTCACTGGGAGAATTGACACCAAATTTGGACACAATACACCTATCAGGCCAATGAGTGACCATCATCCATAAAAACACACAGGAAAACACAGCGGAAGAGACTTTAAAAGCCAAAAAATAAAAATTACATTACAACACATGCACAAAACACACATATATACACACACAAAACACAGACTGGGCCACAGCAATGCGTGGCAGGGGACGGCTAGTAATAATAATAATAATAATAATAATAATAATAATAATAATAATCTTTATTTATACCCCCCACCATCTCTCCAAAGGGGACTCGGAGCGGCTTACATGAGGCCCCATGATACATTACAGCAACACAAAATATAAACAACAATAAAATACATAAACCAATCAAGTAAAATAGTACAAAATAACATAATTTAAAATAAAACACAGTGGGCGGGCCAAATGCATGACATAAAATGATAAAACACTGGATGAGATAGCAATGAAAAGGTACATTTGTGGGAGAGGAGCTCATAATAATAATAATAATAATAATAATAATAATAATAATAATAATAATAATAAACTTTATTTATATCCCGACACCATGGCCCCAAGGGGACTCGGGGTGGCTTACATGATGCCATGCCCATCGATACAATATACACAATATAGCACAAAAACACAACAGAAAATCAGAAAATAAAATAACCTAAAATACAAAACCAATGTATATAAATGACACAACAATATAAAATCAAAACATTATGACATTAAAAATGATCACCATAGGGGACTAAACAGTGGAATTAGACTTTCAATAAGGTGGGGGCAAGTACAATATGAGGAAAACAGTGTAGCTACTTTCTGTGGAGTATGCCTACCACCATCCAGATGCAATTGTGCATCCAGGGAGAAAGGAGAAGCCTTTGCCCTACAGACCTCTAGTGTAGGGATGCTGAGATAGCAGATGAAGTGTTATGCCTCTCTTGTGATCATCCCATCAGATTTCACATTCTTCGTTTTATAAAGGCTTGCACAACTTGCAGTCCTAAAAGCCAAAGGCAGCCAGCCCAATCAAATGATTGCCCCTTTCCTTTGAATGTGTATGTTTGTGTGAGTTTTGCAGATAAAAAAAAGGCTTTCTGTTCATAGCTTGTGGACAGCATTTGGTTCATTGATCACAGATAGTGTATGAACCTAAGCCTGACCTCAGTTGTTTCCTTCTGTAAATTGTTGCCATTTGTTATATTTCAATTTATGGGGAAAAAAAGTTATTTTTTTTCATGAGGCATCCAAATGTTAAAATGAGCTTCCAATATCTGACAATTAAAATAATTGCATTTGTCCAAAAACAGACTGAAAAATAGATACCCTTTTTATGGCACAAAAGGCAGCCTGTCTAATAAAAGTCACATTTATTATTGATATACACGCCCAGTGGCACTGATGGGTTAATTGTAGTTTGGTGAAGGTTTTGTACGCGTGTCACTGAAATTTGTGTCTGGCACTGCTAACCTGAGCCCCCTCCCCTCCCCACCCACCCACCCTGCAAATTCTTCTTCCTTTTTTTTTTAAAGTCCGACCTCCAGTCTGGATGTTGGCAATATGAGAGGCATGTGTCCTTCATTTTGCAGAAGCCAACATCTTTATTAGTATCCTGGCAAGCTAAGGAGTAAGTAGCCCATCTGTTAAAGGGCCGGTGTCATTTGCTAAAATGTTTGGCAGACTTCAAGGAATGATCCCGTCTGTTTCTGGGGCTAATGTTCCAATTGGACGTGGAATAATTGTTGTTAACATTTCATTCAGTGATAAATTCTCTTTCGAAATAGAATGTATTCCCTGGAGTGACAGTTAATTGGTAAGAACCTATTAAAAACCGTCAGTTCAATGCTTTTATAATTCTGGTTTATCTTCTCTAATAATTATTCACCTTTCTGACCTGGAAACGTTTGAGATTGAAATGGAGAACAGCAGGTGTGCTTAGAAGCTGATGGACCAAGATTATATTTTTAACTCATATATTTGATTCTTATCCCACAATTAATAGGCACAGAAATATCACCTTTTTCCTCTAGGCAATTTCATTCCTTTTAATTGTGTATTAAGAAAAAAATGTTTATCGTATGAATCCCCAAAGGAAAACTGTAAGTTATACCACATGAACAAGCACATTATTTCTCTTTTCTCTACTATATCCACATAGCACATTAACCTCACTTCTGTCTGATCACAGTGTTGGTTCTCATTGATGAGAGCAGTAAGAGCACCAATTTGTGTCTGTCACAACTTGTATCCAATATTTGAGAATAGACCTACTGCAGTATGCATGCAGCCTGACAGTTTTACTTCTAGTCAACTGAGCCTTGCAGCCATGGGGGAGATGCAAAGGAAATGTAAGCCTGAACAGAAGGACATAGGGAGAGCCATTTTGAATCATGCAGGTTACCTCGGACCTTTGTAATGCAGTCCGTTCAGACAGTGGACAGACAGTTTCTCAGGTGGAAGATCGCCAGAAGGACAGGAACCTGTGTTCGTCATGGGAGATTTGCTCCTGTCCTTTGATTATTTTGTTAACCCTTTTCTACACTTGAATCCATGTCATTAGGAAGACATGCCCAGTGTGGAACACATCTCACCATGCTAAAACAGTGGATGTGGCTCTTAATGAGACGTGCTGTATTATCATAGGATGTTTGCGCCCTACACCACTGGAGAAATTACACTGTTTAGCTGGTATTGCACCACCTGACATCTGCTGGGAAGTAACAACCAATAGTGAAAGGACCAAGGCAGTGACATCTCCAGCCCACCCCCTGTTTGGATATCAGCCAGCATGCCAATGCCTTAAATAAAAAAATAGTTTTCTAAGATCTACAGAGACACTCATTGGAACATCTCAGCAAGCGAGAGTCCAAAAGTGGCAGGCTAAAACCCAGAACCTCAATCCATGGTTGATACCAAATGAGAGACTCCCTGCTGGGCACACAGAAAACTGGGTGACTTGGAAGGCACTGAACAGATTGAACTTTGGCACCATATGAGGTGCAGAGTCCACCTTAAGAAGTGGGGCTACAAAGTGGAATCCACGACATGCGAGTGTGGAGAAGAGCAAACCACAAACCACCTACTGCAATGCATTCTGAGCCCTGCCACATGCACAACGGAGGACCTTCTCACAGTGAGACCTGAGGCCAGCTACTGGTCAAGGGACATTTAATATAATGCCAAGTTTTCAAATGTTGTGGTTTTTGTTTGTTTGTTTTTAAATACAATACAAGTGTACCCTTGGTTTGCTCCTGAAATAAATATTAGGCAGACTTCAAATTCTTGCAGCCTGTGCCACATGGACTACATATTGGCCACTCCTGACTTCCAATCACTCAGGCCAGTTACCTTCTGATATTGTCACCGCTCTCTTTACAGAGTGTATTCAAAGTCCACATATTCTGTGGCAGCTGAACTGTCACTGCAAACTCAGGT